AATATCTCGGTTCGCGAGGCAGAGCGACACTTTTTTCTGCCAGATTCTTTCGTTTCATGCAAAAACGCGTCGAATGAGCCTAATTTTATCGAAATCGGAAGTGAGGGAGGTATTCTGAATAATTACCAAATTTTATTCGGTTCAATGTTATCTAACCTAAATTAACTTAACCTAATCCTAACCTTTATTAATCCTGTGTACAATGCCGAATTAATAATAATGTTAAAATAAAAAACTGTATTATCTTAGATATTAATGTTTATTACATTTGTATGTTGCCTTGTTTTTTAATTTGAGAGCAAACAGCCTTACTAATATCTATTGATAAAGTTATATCAAGTTAAAAACGCATGTTGATCACAGCTCGAACAAAACATGACGGTTACGTTCAGTGTTGCCAGGAATGCCAGGTGCTTTCGTCAATTTTCCCCTAAAACAGCCTCGGAAATCTCCCTAAATCTCCCTAAGTAAGCTCCAAAAAACCCTAGATTCTCCCTAAAATTGTCAAATATGGCCGCGGTCCGATACACGCTCACAACGCTTAAAAATCATTTCATCCTTGTTGTTTGTCAAATGTTAAACGAAGACAAACAATGCTCATGAGCGTTGTCAGCATGATTCGGACCACGGCCATGTTTAAAATAAAATTACAATGGGCCTTCTACAATAAGCCAGGATCATCATACAGGCAACAGCGCTTTGACACCGAACGCTGATTGGTGAAAAACGGGTGATGGGGGTAAATTTTATCCCCACAACCGGCTTTTCACCAATTAGCGTTCTGTGTCAAAGCGCTGTTGCCTTTATAAGGATCCGGGCTAAGGGTGGAGTCTCATGAAGCGTATTTGCCGCGTATCGCGTAACCGCGTAACCAATCAATAATCAGTAAAACGCGAAATCACAACAGCGGATCGCTTCTAATTGGTTACGCGGTTACGCGATACGCGGTAAATACACCTTATGGGTATCCAGCCTAAGGGTGATGTCCCATGCAGCGGATCGTGCGTAAGCGGATTCGCGTATCGCCAATCACAGAATCATTTTCTTAGATCTGTTTGCAAATTTCGCAAGCATATCTAAAGCCTCGTCTACAATAGTCGCACAGGTTGTGTCGGATGTCGCGAGTAGTAGCATCGCAGGAAAATTTGTCGCATGCCGCAAGAGTGTCACTAAATGAGCGTCTACAATAATCATAACAATTGTTTGCACGCAATTCGATGACAAATTCTAAACGTCAATTTGCTGTGCTGTGATTGGCTGAGCTCATGCGACATGCCTGTGCAGTCGCAGAAAGTTGAAGTTGGCTCAACTCCGTACGACAAGAGCTCTTGCGACTACGACGATCATGCGACTATATGCGACACTTCTGCGACATTTCATACGACATGCGACACAGCTTGTGCGACTATTGTAGACGAGGCTTAAAGCGGCTCTACAATAGAAGTCGTAGCAGTCGTAGAGTCTTAAATCGTAGAAAATTAACCAATCACAGTAGAATATGAGAAGAATAATCGACTATGATTGGTCAATTTTCTACGACTTAAGGCCCTACGATCGCTACGACTTCTATTGTAGACCCCGCAGGGGTCCTCTACATAGGAGGGGTGGCACCCAGTTGGACACGGCTCAATTGGACACGAGTCACACACAGCGCTTGAGACTACAAACCTCCTAAGCACTGGTCGTTGTGATTGGTGGTGTCCAATCAAGCCGTGGTCAATCGGGATCACCCCCATAGGAGTCGTAGACGGTCGTGGAGTCTTAAGTCGTAGGAAACCAACTAGTCACAATCAAATATAAGGAGAATACTCGATTGGAATTGGTCAGTTTCCTACGACTTAAAGGCTGTTCTACAATAAGTTGCAAACACCCCGTTGCCAGTCGCAAAGGTTAGCAACTACTAGTTGCAAAGTGCTATTTCCGGTTGCAATAGATAGTCGCGGTTGCCAACGGAGAGTTGCCCAACTTTTAACTCCTTGGCAAAAGCAACTGTCTACCGTAACATCTTAGTCAATCAAATATAGTGTTCGAAAAGCGCGAAGAGTGAAATGAAAGTTGTTGTGATATATCGGTGGTGTTTGATTTATTTCATTTTCATTTCGAGAACATCTCGAATATTTATCACATAATCTGCTTGATATATTCTCTTCGACTGTTCGGCTACAGCAAATAACGACGGACGTTCTACTTTCTGATTGGCTGTTTCTATACAAATCACAACTTTCGACATCCAAATGTGGATTAGGTGTTACAATAATTTTCAACTTGTGAATGGCAACTTGTCACTCCGCAACTGGCAACGGGGTGTTTGCAACTTATTGTAGAACGGCCTTAAGACTCCACGACCGTCTACAACTTCTATGTAGAGGACCCTTTACTGTACTGCCACGAGGTGGCGGTGTATAGCGTAACTGTACGGTAGCAGTACAAAAAGTCTACATGATATTATAGCAGTGTTGTTAGACGGGCTGGATTTCTGACGCATGCGCGTCCAATGTAGCTTCAGTAACGTACCGGTCACTAGTAAATAGGAGGTCATTAGTCGTCTATGTAAAATTTTTTCAAAAATGTTGAAAATTTTAATATATTTTACATATTTTACATATGTA